CCTACCCCATCCACCACCTACCCATCCACCACCTACCATCCCACCCACCTACCCATCCACCACCTACCCATCACCCACTACCCATCACCCACCTACCCATCCACCACCTACCCATCCACCCCTACCCATCCACCCCCTACCCATCCACCACCTACCCATCACCCACCTACCCATCCACTACCATCACTGCCAACCATACCAACCACTACCCATCCACCCACCGACCTCCTACCCTCACCCGACGCTGCCATACACCTGACACCCATCCATCACCCACCACAGCCTACATCCACCCATCCATCCACCCACCCCACCTACCACACTCACCCATCCACCATCCACGCTACTATCCACCGACCACCCACTCAGCAACCACCCATCCACCCACACACCCAGCCTACTCAATCCATCCATCCCACCCAGTTACCCATACCACAGCTACCCATCACCTGACCACCCACCCCCTTACCGCATCCACCCACCCACTATTCCATCCACCCGACCATTCCCACCCAGTTTTCTGTTCCACCACCACACCATCCCAGCTACCCCATCACGATCCACCCACCCAAGTCCATCCAGGCTGACCACCCCACATCCACAGCTACCCGATCCACGACCACCCACCCACCCACCATCTACCCACACGTTACCCATCCACCACCTACCCGTAGCCATCCAACCACCCACCCAGTTACCATCATCCACACCACCCACCAGCTACCCATCCACCATGCACCATCCATCCACCCCCTCCACCCGACCACCATCATCACTCACCCATATCACCCGACCACCCTTCCATTCCACCCACACCAGCTACCATCCACCAACACCCAACCCTCCACACACCCACCAGCTACCCATCATCACCCACCCAGCTCCCACCCCACCAGCTACCCATTCATCTACCCACACCCACCCATTCACTCACCCACCCAGCTTAGCCCATCACCACCTCAGTCCACCCATCCACCACGCTACCCTCCCGCCTCCCATCCATCCCAACACCCAGTCTACCCATCCACCCACCCAACCCAGCCTACATGCCACCCGCACCACCATGCCCACCCATCCACACCACCCATCCAGTAACCCTGCCACCACCACCATCCCACCAACTACCCACCACGAACCAGCCACCCAAACCCAGCCTACCCATCCACCCACCCATCCCCACCCAGACTCCCATCACCCACACGTTCCACTCATCCACTTCAAATGTACCCGCACATCATTACCCACCCTTTGACTCATCCATCCATCATCATCCATCAGTCCATCCCCCCACCCATCCATCAGTCCATCCACCCCCCTTCACCATTCACCTATCATCACCCATCCCATCCATACCGGCCCTCCCAGGCATCCATCCACATGAGGGGGGCTGTCGGACAGGGTGGGGGCCCCTTGGGGCAGAAGGACCCAGGACCCAGGGTGGCTTCTGTGGGTGCCGCCCCTCCTCCCACGGCAGGGGTGTAGAGACGGGAGCTGCTGTGTCCACAGGGGGCTTTAGTGCTCTGTATTCTGCTGTGGCCTCCCGCCGCTCCCCCAGCCCCCCACTCTCTCACATGCGCCCCGCTGTGTCCAGGCGCTGTCTCTGAAGGAAGCCCAGCTCGGCCTGCTCAGCAAGGAGCTCTCCAAGGCTGACCGCGAGCGGGAGCAGGTGCAGCAGGAGGCCCAGAGCCGGCAGGAGCAGGCGGAGGTGAGCCCCGCACCACCCAGCCAGGGCGATGCCAGATCTCCCTCCCTCCCCCGCCTGCTGGAACCTCAGTTTCCCCTGGTGTCTCCAGGTCTCCTGTGGGGTCAGGACACTGTCTCGAGGGGCAGGGAATCCCAGAGCAAACCAAAGCTCTGTCCTGGTCCCTGCCCGTAGCCGTGAGTGCTAGGACTCCACCTGGCCCGGTCTTCCCTCAGCCCCAGATTGGCAGAGGCCGGCGAGGGGAGGGCCTGGCCTGGGCTGCAGGTGAGCTGGTGACAGCGAGCAGGCAGGATAGGGGTGGACCCCAGGCCTGTGTCCCCTCCCGGCCATGCCAGCCCAGCCTTGCCGTCTGTGTGCTTGAGCTGCTCCTAGAAAAGCACAGTGAGGAAACAAGCTCCGGCCCCTCAGACTGACCCCCTGGGGAGACCCCTTCCCAAAGGGAAACTGAGTCGGAGGAGGCTGCACTGCGCCCCAGGAAACCCTCAGTCAGAAAGGACACCGCCGTTGCATCTCGAGCAGAGCCGGGGGAGGGGCACCCACCCAGGGCCCAGGAGACCCCCCGGAAAGCAGCTGAGGCCCTCAGCCAGCTGGGGTCCCCTGGGACCCCTGACTCCTTGTCTGGAGCCCATGTCTGGGAGGGGCAGGCAGCAGCAAGGAGGGCCTGGGGAGGGGCTCTAGGAGCCCTGCGCCTCCCCCCACGGGCCAGGCTGGGCACCCACCGCTGTTGCTGGCAGGGTGGCCTCTGGCTGCCAGAGCACGAAGGCCCCAGCCCATCTGTGACATGGCTCCAGGTCCCAGGTGGGCGATGGTGACAGTCGAGGGTCCAAGAGCCCAAGGAGGGCAATTTGCAGTCGGAGTCAGTACTGCTGTCCCCGGCGGCCAGCGGTGGGCTGGGCCTGAACGGACACTCGGGGCAGGAGGGACAGCCCCGAGGCGCCAGGGACATGTCCCCTCCCGTGGGAACACACCGTGCCTGCCCGACCCCAGGCTCCGGCCTGCGCCCCACTGTCCGGCCACACACTGGGCCCACGCCCGCCTCCTGCCTTTGTCCTTCCAGCTCACGCCTGTGGCCGGGCCTGCCCGTTTTTAACCCTGCAGGTCCTTTTCCACCCTGGCTCCTGGCGTGTGCCCAACCCCAGGGTCACTAGGTTGGATGCTCCATGGGTGTGGGACAGAAGACCAGCCACGGCACAGGGCCCCCAAGACTTCTCTTCTCGCTGCCTGCCCAGGGGGCATGGGCAGCCCACCGGGGGCCTCAGCAGAGCTCGGTCACTCTGATAGACGGGGACGGGGGCTTGTGGCCAGTCCCCGGGGTCTTGTGCAGCCGGAAGGGGTCTTGCAATGGGAGCCGGCTGCCAGGGGCTTCTTTAGCTCCTCCTGCCTGGCTCCACGGCCGGCCCCTCGGCCCGCTGAGCAGGGCAGCACAGGGAGCTGCTGGTGCCCGGGAGCCTCGCCCAGGAGGGTCCTGCTGCCTCCCTGGAGCCCCCAGCCCTGCTCCGTCCCTGCCCAAGGCCCCGAGGTTCCTTCCAAGGGCACAGGCCTGAGGGGTCTGGGGGCCCCCCCGGGATGGAGCTTGGAGCCAGGACTGGGACTGTGCCCCTCCTGCCCCACCCCTGGCCCAGCTGCTCCCTCAGCCCCACCCTGTGGGCCGAGAACCAGGAAAGCCCCCCGGAGACCCTGGGAGCTGACGCCTCCAGCTCGCAGAGGGTCTCCTCGGAGCCAGCGCTGGCTTCCGGAGCCTTCTTTTGTGCTGGCCCGAGTCTGGCCCTGGACTTGGGACCAGGCCTGCCAGCCAGCTGGGCTCCGCGGGGAGCTCATTAAGGGCTCTTTTGCCACCTCAGCACAGAAAGTGGAAATTAAAGCCCACGAGAGGGGCGGGGGGAGAGAGATGCGAGCCAAAGCACACCCGCTGTGGGATGACAGGAAAATGGGCCACCCGGGGCAAGCAGAGGGTCCTCCCCGCTGAGTCACCACTGCCGCCGGGCTCCCGGCCAGTGCCCCGGCCCCAGGTCCTCGCAGGGTGCCCTGCAGCCAGGCCTCACCGAGCACCCCACCGCGGGCAGTGCTGGGTCGTGTGGGGAGCCCAGGGAGACGCCTGCCAGTGCCGAAGGGGCGGGGCAGTGCAGAGCGGTGGGGCAGTGCAGAGCGGTGGGCAGGTGCCACCGAGGGGGGCAGGGCAGTAGCAGAGCGGTGGGGGCAGTGCAGGGAGGGGGCGGGGCGCAGTGCAGGCGAGGGTGGGGCAGCTGCGGCAGAGGGCGGGCAGCTGCAGCGAGGGAGGGGGGCAGGGTGCAGTCGCCGCCGAGGCGGGCATGCATGAGCGCGTGGGGCAGTGCCAGGAGTGGGGCGGCTCCAGCGCTGCAGAGGGGTGGGGCAGTGCAGAGCGGGCCAGGTCAGGAGTGGGCCGGGCAGCTGCACGAGGGGAGCGGGCCGCAGGTGCAAGGCGGGGACAGTGCCAGAAGGGGGCGGGGCAGTGTGGAGGGGCGGGCAGTGCCAGAGGGGGCGGGAGTGCGGGCAGCCGGGGGGCCAGTGCAGAGGGCGGGCTGGTCAGTGCAGGGAGGGGACACTGCAGCTCTGGCAGAGGGGGCAGGTGCAGTTGTAAGGGGGCAGGGGCAGTGCTGGGGGGGCGGGCCAGTGCTGGGAGGGGGCGGGGCAGTGCAGAGGGGGCGGGGCAGTGCAGGAGGGGGCCGGGGCAGTGCAGGAGGCGGCGGGCAGCTGCAGAGGGCCCGCAGTGCAGAGGGGCAGGTGCATCGAGGAGGCCGGGGCAGTGCAGAGGGGGGGGCGGGGGCAGTGCATGGAGGGACACTGCCCAGTGCAGAGGGCGGCGGGGCCAGTTGCCACAAGGGGGGCGGACAGTGCAGTAGGGGGGCCAGCTGCAGCTATGGAAGGGGGCAGGGCCAGGCTGCTGCGACGTGGGGGCGGCCCAGCGTGCTGGTCAGGGGGGCAGTGTGGAGGGGGCTGGGCAGTGGCTCCTCTGCCAGGAGCAGGAGGCGGAGCCTGGTAGGGGCCCCGCCCAGTATTGCCCTCCTGCAGCATCTGGCTGGGGGCTTCCGAGAACCCGCATCGCGAAGGCGTGGGGCACTGTGCCTCCGGGGACCAGAGCGCGGCTCCAGAGGGCCCACTCCCACCAGCCACTCACCTGCCCTGCATGGCCAAGGAGCCGGCGGCTTTTTTTTGAGTGGCAGAGCTCACTGCCGCGTGCTGTCAATTGAGGGTGGGGCCTCTTGTTGGCCCAGTGGCCCTTCCTGTCCCCTCGGCACCCAGCAGAGCCTGCAGAAAGGGGCCAGGGCCTGAGACCCCAGCCGGGCCCTGCTGCCCACTGGGTGCCTGGCAGCCTGGGGACCCCAGAGGAAAGGCGCAGGGTGGGGGTGGGGGCCTTCAGGGGGTGCCCCCAGGCCCCTGCCTCCCCACGCACCTGGCATAAGCACCCCAACTCCAGCCCGGCCCCCCCACCCTGCTGCCACCTGGTCACAGGACAGCAACTGCCAGGCCGGTCCCTGGGTGCCACCGCGGCTCTCTGCCCCCCCAGGCCACCATCCGCGCCACGGCGGAGGAGCTGAAGGCCCTGCAGGCCCAGTTTGAGGGAGCCATCGCTGCCCACCAGAGGGAGGCCGCTCCCAGGCACCCCGAGGGGCAGGCCGGGCGCCGGAGAGGAAGGGAACATGATTTAACATGACGGGCTGTTTATGTTGGCCCCGGAGAGAAAGGTCTCCTTTCAACAGATTTCAAAGTCAGGCCGGTCCGGCCACACGGGGAACAGATGCGGTTTCCAAACGGGGCTGCGGGCGGGCGGGAGGCCGGCTGTTTGTTCTGCGGGGTGAGGGAGAAGCTCAGGCCTCGTGGGAAGTTCGGGTTCTCTGAGAGGCGGCCCCAGAGAGGGAGTGGGGTCCCCAGAAGGGAGAGCGGCACCCCGAAAGCAAGGGAGGCCGTCGGAGGGCTTCGC